CCCAACTCTTCGGTTGTAATAATTATTTATTTATTTCAACAGATAACGATCATCTTATAGCAATACTTAAATAACAGTCAACTTCAAACTTGAATTACAGGAGTTAGCGATCTTTTAAAAAAACCAGACCATACATACTGATTGCATCACATATACACACACCAGCACATTTAACGGAACAAAGGAAAAGTGAGAATATAAAATAGTAATAACGACAACAACAACCCATTTAGCCGACCCACTGCTGGGCACGGGTTTCCTCTCTGACGAGGATTTAGGTTGGTTTAATGCGGGTTGAAGAAGGTTCACAACCTTCGGAAAACTTGTAATCCTTCTTCGCCATGTAGGTTTTGTCACGATGTTTTTCGAAATGCTGAAAACCTTCCGAACTCGAATTCTTCTAACCCACAACATGAATAAAATAGTATTTTTTTTTACAAGAATACAAGAATACAAGATATTTATTCGCTGAAAAATGTAGTTTACAATGGTGTTATAGTATATTATTATTAGATCGTACATTTCACCAAAACTTGGCATGCGAATATTTTACACAATTCTTATTTCAATCACGCACAGTGGTTAAATTTTGCATTTTATGTTATCTATTAAAAAATCATTTATATTGTAGTAGCATTGTGTAACTAACAAATTACGTAATTTTATTTTAAATTGCCTGCAATTTAGTTCTTTAACTGCATCTGGTATTTTATTAAATAATTTAGGTGCCAATATAAACGTCGTTCTATTGTAAAATTCCAAGGTGGGGCGTTGTTTTCTGGTCTTTCTCGCTGGCCCACACCAAACATGGCCCTGACACATTTCTTCTGGGTTTTAAACAGTGGTGTAATATGTGTTGCAGCAGCGTTCCCCCAAAGCAGCAGACCATATCGCAAACTAGAGGCTACATAGGCGTGACAAGCACAATTTTATAATATCAAGCGACGGGATGAACAAGTCGTGTGCCTGTTCGAAAGCTACACACCTGTCCATAACGGTTGGCATTACAACCGCTCAGAACTTTAAATCGCAAAGATCTGAAGGGGCACTTGACACTGCGCCCGTCAACCAGAGACATAACAAGTCCCATGTGCTTGTATTTCACCAGCACCCTTACCCTTCAAAATCGGAACGCCGTAATGCTCACATTACTGCTTGGCGGAAGAAACAGGCAAGGTGGCAGTACTTCACTGGACGAACTCTTTCACAAGGAGCCCTACTGATACTAGGTACGTATCTAGTTAAACTATCTACCGGCAACTACAGACAAAGAAAGATCTATGACATATAATTACAAACCAATACCAAACTCTCATATTCTAATTAAAGTTATACATGTAAATAAATCACAAAAATTAATGTTTTGGCACAAAATCTTGTATAAAATTATCATAATACGTTTATGCAATAATTTATTTTTATTATAGACTTACGTTTGTTCACAGTCTTACCTAACGATAACGTTCAATTTACAATGCCGCAGAACTTTGCGCAGAAGCGATTTTTGATAAAGAAATTATAATTAACTTTTGATCATTGTGTAAGTAAGGAAATAAATAAATAACGCGCACACCCTGCACTAACGGGGATTTTTATATGATCTAGCTAAGAGGCTCCCAAACTTTCTTGTCTCGTAGACCACGTGCAAATTTTTTCTATTTTGTGTAGACTTCTGCTTTTATATTTACTTCAAATGTATTTTTAACAGCTGACACAGTGATAATCACTTTAACAAGTTTAATTTAATAATAATAATGGGGAATACTGCCTCTCCCATTTACAAATTCAAAATTTATATTTTAGGCCTTGGGCGAGGCGAGACTCTAATAATAATAATAATAATAATAGCAGTAGCAGTAGCAGTAGCAATAGTAGTAGCAGTGGCAGTAGCAGTAGCATTAGCAGTAGCTGTAGCAGTAGCAGTAGCAGTAGCAGTAGCAATAGTAGTAGCAGTGGCAGTAGCAGTAGCATTAGCAGTAGCAGTAGCAGTAGCCGTAGCCGTAGCCGTAGCTGTAGCAGTAGCAGTAGCCGTAGCAGTAGCCGTAGCTGTAGCAGTAGCAGTAGCCGTAGCAGTAGCAGTAGCAGCAGCAGCAGCAGCAGCAGCAGTAACAGTAACAGTAACAGTAACAGAAACAGTAACAGTAACGGTAAAGGTAACGGTAACGGCAACGGTAACGGTAACGGTAACGGTAACGGTAACGGTAACGGTAACGG